CAGGTTTTACATGTTTAAATGTTGATGTGGACTGATTCTTGGACCACATATGTTGAACCAAATGCTCTACATTTGGCCCAGATATTATATAGATATGATATAGAACTTTACATATTGGTTATTTAGAGACACAAACCAATTTAATGTTTTCAGATATTTAATTTTTTTCTGTTTTCACCCTAAAAAAAAACTGTAATGCCACTTTAAGGGCTGAATATCTCCATGAGTTGTGGTGTTTTCTGGAGAAAACAACGCTTCAAACAGCTTTTACAGGTTTTGTTGTGAGGCAGGAACTTAGTCTTTGGTCCTGAATACCAAAGTGGTCGAGATTCTGTGTGAACGGACTCAAACTGAGCCTGAAAACACAAACGCCTCCTCCGACCACTAGAGGGCGCCTCACACCAGCAACCAGCCGAGTCAGAGCCAGTGGACCGGAGGACACGAGGAGGACGGTCCGGTTACTGTTACCTGGCGATGGGTCGGTTGTTCTTGGTGAAGTCTATGAGGTGAACTGCAAACGGCATGGAGCACACCGCCAACACGTTGACCACCTTGAAGGCCGAGAACCTCACCTGGACACACAGCGACACACATACACAGGGCAGCGTTCAGAGTGAGCTCTGGGTTTAGAGACAACACGGCGGTCTTTGGTCTGGTCCGGCACCAGAGATCAGGACTGGTTCAGAAGCTTTAATCTGACCGGGCTCATCAGCACGTGGTCCAGGTTTGTACTCTGAACAGCATGCAGGACAAACACGTGTTGTGAATCATTAGACTGATGTTGTGATACGAGTCGTGGTTTTAGTGCTGAAGGTGATTATGTGATTGTTGCTGCAGGTCCTGTTGTGTTCCGGTTGTGTTACATCTGCAGGATGCGACCTGCAGCACCACGATGCTTCACATGTGAGTCATGTTGTGCCACACTAGATGTTGTATTTGACATCAGTAATTTAATACGATCATTAGTTCATCTCTTGCTGTCTAAGGAGAAAATGAATCTCATTCTTTCACCTCCTGAAGAATCTCTGCAGCTTTTCTGCCCCACTGCTGACAGTTTGGACACAACCAAAGTCATGTTTTACTTCACTGATGGAAGGAAAGTTTAATAAAAGCTAACTGGATGGGAGCGACTTAAACGTTTAAACCTGCTCGGTGGAGCTTTTCTGCTCTCCTCCGACTCTCCTGAACACTCTGAGCTGCTGCAGCTGCTTGGTCTCCAACACAAACCGTCGTTACTGCGTCGCTGCAGCTGCAGGAAAACCACCGCAGACAGCAGGTGAGAGCTCCGGTTTAGAGGCTGAATCAGGATTGTGTGAACGGTCTGAACACAGCAAACACTTGTTCAGATGTAAACGCTGCATTCAAAGGCAGGTCGACCCGGATTAAAGCTGCGGTTCTGTTTACTCGGAGTCATGAGGTGTAATCTGGACGAAGCAAAGCCGAAGGAATGAACGATAAACACCTTCTAGCAGCTTTAAGGCCTCGTCGTCACGAATGGACTCGTTCTGACCCAAACTATCAGACTGTGTGACACTGAAGAGCCACATGGTCGCTAACGGGCATCATTAAGGAAGTGGTCAGTGTATAATCATTAGAGCAGGGTTCTCCAGCTCTGGTCCTCGTGAGCTACTGTCCTGCAGGTTTTAGACGTTACTGCAGCACATCTGACTCACATTAATGGATCTCCAACAGCTTGTTGTCAAGTTCTACACAAGTCTGTTAATGATCCATTCATGTGAGTCAGGTGTGCTGAAGTACAGAGACGTCTGAAACCTGCAGGACAGTCGCTCACGAGGACCGGAGCTGGAGATCCTTACAGCCACTGAGCTTTGACTCGGAGGAGCTGACGGACAGACGTCCAGTCAGCAGGCTTCACAGGCTTCTACTGGTCGCATGAAGGAATCC